GACACGTCAGGATAATGCTGAAACAGAGCTGTGTGTGCGATGTTTCTCTTCGCGATCTCCTGCGGAAAGCACCGACCAGCCGCGAGAGCCCGTCTCGCGCGAAAAAGGACACGCGTACACTTACACGTACACCTGAGGTAACATCATAGACAACCGCCACATGCACAGCGAGTAAAACTACGGTTGCACCCGTTCACGAAGGTCCTTTTACTCGCTTATCCTACCATGTGACGTGAGCGTGAATGGAGAATTGTGCGCGCGAGTGAACACGGTCACGCGTGTGCGTTTGTAGCTATCGTGCATCACTCCGCTGTTAAGCTTTACGCGCTTTATTCAGATTTCCGCGAGAAGACAAGTTTTTAGGTATTTTTAGTGGGTTGCACGTTGCACATACACGACACGATAATCTTATGGATTTTATCGATTGTCGTCCTTTTATTTTATCACTTTATTTTCGCATTAATTAGACTGCGGCTTTTTTATTTACATAAAAATTCGCAGTTTCTGCAAATCTTAGCTGAATGAAATGTAATGAAAAGTAACAGAGTGTGCGTTCTATACTTGAAATACTCGTGTATTTATGTTTTATGCATTCTTCTGCGTTTTTATATCGAATATTTCTATAACCGTATAGACATCCACAAGTTACTAATAATATTTTAATATCCTATCGTGTTTTTGGGAATATAAATAGGAAATCGAACGTAGACAGAGATTAGAGATTTATTTCACCATCTACATATTACAGCAATGGACTTTGAATATTTTATGTAATTTCACATTGGACGCTGCACTTTTTTAAATTTCTAAAAACCCGTCTATATTTATATTTGTATCGTTTGGAACGGAAATTGGAGATACGAAGGAACATTGAACATATGGCTGTAGTGTGATTAAAAAGCAAATTTTATGTATAATCTATTGTCTACGTACGATTTAATTCAGAATACGAAAGATAAAGAGATGTAACATGTACAAAGGAAATTAAGCAATGTTTTATAAAATGAATATTTTCGTGTCGAGAAACTGTGTATGTTAACTTTAATATCGTGTGCTTTTACGTTTCCTTTGTACGTCCACATCTCTTACGTGCTGAATTTTTGTAGAATAAAGTTTCAAATGATTTTCTAAACGATCGCTTTTATGACACGAGTGCTTTTATGGTGAATTAAAAAATATATCAGTTAACATTGAGAAGCACATAGTCTCTTTAGGATTAGATCTATCAATCTTTTTTACCCTGCTTCTAAGTGTGTTATATGAATATAAATGATTTTTATATATTAATATTTTTAATTAATTCTGAAGTACTGTCGATCGTTTTACTGTTTAATTATTTATAAAACTTGAATGATTTTGATCATTCTAGTATTAAAGAAGATATAGCTGCTTCCAATATATATATTATTATTTAATTAATTGTAGAATTCAATGTCTGTGGTAGATCTAGTGTTAAAAAAGACGAAACTGTTATTGTTGAAATTTCTGATAAATTTTACTTCTGACGAAGATTCGTTGTTTATCAAGTATTCATTTTTAAACTCAAGCACTACTTAGCGCTACTTAGTTGCATTTCAGGGATCACATTATATAATTTTTTTCCTCGTAATACGATTTACAACTCGCATGATTTTTTCTATGATTTCTATGAAGAATTTTCGCACGATGGAAAACATGTGACTTGGATCCTCGTGGCTATCATATCACGTGAATACACACATTCACGTATGTAATTAATTTCTTATATGATTTAATGCACTGATTCCTTGTTTAAAACAATTAAACATTTATAGCAGTTATTAGTTACATTGAATAAGTAAAGAGAGATAAACAAAAAGCTAAATCTTGATCGATTGGTATTAACGGAAGTGTAACTTTTTAAACTGTTAAAATATTTCAATGCCAATTCCAACCATCTTTCATTAGGGGATAATTCACAACACAGAAAAATAATTTTAATCCCAATTCTTCTTTCATCCAAACAATTTCGTTATCTGATGTGCCACACAGGTGTAAATCAGAATTTCAACAAACCAATCGCATCACTCCCTTTCCATCTCTTCGTTCGTACATTCAGTACAACTTCATGTGTCATTCTATTCTATTCTCTTTCACACGAGGCATCAATCGCGAGCAACCATCCTTGGGCCGATTCACCTGGCTGACAAGTTTGCTTCGTTGGCCCACTTGGACCACGTTGCATACACGTCTTTATTTACCCTTTCGATTCTGTTGCACCGGATGCCCGGTAATCTTCGGCCCTTTGTCCCTTTCCCTTTTGATCGTAAAGTGTCATCAACTTAGGCTGGCTGGCTGATGGTGCGACTTGACAAAGAGTCAATTGTCTATCCGGCTATTCACACTGCTCGCGTTCGTGCGGCATGCGACACTCAACCACCTCCTATATATGTGTGTGTGTGTGTGTGTGTGTGTACGTAACACGTGGATGCAGGAGTATACATAGGTAGACACGCGATCATGCCACGTCGACTGTTAATAAATATCGGGGACGCTCTTTCAGGATCGGATCAAAACAATAGAGGAAAAGTTTCTCGAACGTGCGACCGCCACCAGTTTCAAAAGTATCGCTGATATCTGCGCTTGTATTATATGCTCCCCTGTTCCTCCCCTGTTTCCTTTCGCCTTCTTTTTCTCCCCTCCTTTTTGTGTCGTTTCCTCAGTTGTTTATTCTACCAGTAGTTCTTCCGCCTTTTCTTTTTTATCGTTGAGAGTCATTGAGAATCTGTTACTCGTTCCTCTTTGATTTCAGTCCGGCGAGGTGCGATTCCTGGAAAAAAGAGTGCACATTTGTCGAGTCTTTTGATAGTTTGAATTAGAGATTGAAGATTAGTAGCTGTATTTTTGCAGGCTGATTGGGGAAAATGTTTGAAGTTAGGCTATTTGGTTGATTTTTTTTTTTTAAATTCATAATTTTGCACGACACTTGTTAGTTTAGATTACATATTGTATATACATAAATTAATACAAATTACATGCTGAACTCGTAATACTAAAATTACTAAAATCCGCCGTACCTGTCAAGAAAGTATCCCAAATCGCCACCTATCAGACTAATAACCATAAAAGGCGCGCGTGGATTCACGCGCGCCTGTTTCTTGCAGGACGATACTGGACACAAAGTACGGCCTGAAGAGGTGGCAAATCGGAGAGATCGCGAGCAAGATCGGCCAACTTTACTATCACTATTACCTACGTACCAGCGAGACTTCGTATCTCCACGAGGCCTACTCGTTCTACGCGGCGATCCGCGGCCGCTCTTATTACAGCCGCGCCGTCAAGGAGGACCGAAGCGACCTGATGGTGAAGAAGCTCAGGTACTACGCGCGTTTCATCGTCGTCTGTCTGCTGTTGAATCGTATGAAGCTCGTCCGTGAACTGGTGCAAGAGCTGGACGCCCAGATCACTAATTACACAAGCACGTACGAGCCGGACGATCAACTCGAGTGGAATTTGGTTCTCGACGAGGTCAAGACGTTCGTGAAGGCCGAGTCGGCCATCGGAGTGGTGCATTCGGACTCGAACCCGGTCATACTGTCCCACCGGCTGGGGGCCCAGACTTCACCGCCAGTCGAACGTACGCCACCCATGTGCCTATCTCTGCAGGAGATCCTGATCGTTGGCAACTGCGCCGACCAGGTGAAGTTCAGTGAATTGTCGATGGACATGTTCAGGATGCTGCAAACGCTCGAACGGGAGCCAAGGGACGACCCTAATCACCTGCACGACGCGTCGCCCGCGGGTAGAATACCGTTCAGGCCTGGTGTGTATCCTGGGACCGAGAACGGTGCCAGGCGGGACAATCCACACAAGTACCTGCTGTACAAGCCCACCTACAGCCAGCTACAGGTATTCCTCGCCAGCGGCTTCAAGGAGTTGCCTGCCAACGGCGCGCTGTTACTCTACTTGTCCGCCGACGGCTGCTTCTCCACTGTCAAGCATCCGGAAGAAAGTGAGTGTTCCCTTTGATCGCCGCCGATCACGCTTCCGCCAGTATTTTTTTTAGAGCCTTGGCTCAGCTGCCTCTTGTGTTTTGCTGTCCGAAAGAATTCGTATGTCGGCATAGATGTAGAGGGATCACCTAACGTTAGAGACTGAAGAAGATGTTGTTTGGTTGTTGGATACTGTTTGAGGAAAGAGAACAAGAGGATCAGTTTTACTAATTTTATAAATTACGGTCATTTCATAAAGCACTGAAAAACAAACTAAAAAGATACTTAACCTTGGAGGGATTTGTTCCGGATTTGTTCTCTACTTTCTATCTAAATCTAAACCTAAACCTAACTTTATGCCACACACAAGGAAACGATCTTTTGAAATTCCCCGTTTCACGATTCAGCTAGCCTCCCACAACCTGAAAATTGCCAAATCGAAATAGTTCGCGCGAACTGGTAGCCAGTTGGTCGATCAAAGCGCTTTCGTTTCGCCTTTCGTCAACGAAAATAGTTTCCGTTTTAAAAAAACAAAAAAAAAAAAAAAAAAAAAAAAAGGCGGTTGGTCTCCGGTCGATCCTGTTGATCGGCCGAAAATTACTTGTCACGGTAGAGGGCAGTCGTTGATGCACGGCTAAAGCGAATCACGCGCTCGGCGAAGCTGAAGGGCGAACGCGTGTCGGCGTTTTCGGTCAGTTTCCTCGGCTAGTAGTAATCCAACCAGTCTCGGATTCCGTGTCCTATCGGTTTATCTACTTCTCCGTTTAAGAAACGGAGAAATTCCTCCAAATTTATCGTTCCAAAGTATTCGCATCCTGCCCGACGAGAGTCGCGTCTGCAGTGGCAATGAAAAACGAATACATACAGATAGAAATAGAATTCACGATTCATCATGAACATAAAATTCATCTCACTGGTAGGCAGAATAAATATATACCGCGTGACTTCTTACAGTGGTTACAAGCTCGAATATAACTGTCTCGCCGGCATGGAAACGGCCGTGAAGAGATAAGCCGTGTTGCAACGGTGTTACACGATGCCTACGACACCGCGCGCGAATCCGTTTTTAAACGCGTCCCGTTAATTGGATCATCGGAGTCGGATCGTCGCCTTTCTTCGATTCGCTCAAGGGCTTCCGGTGAGAAGAACGGGGTGGCTCTCCTCGATGATTTGGTCGCTCTTTTCGTTGCTAACGTTTGGATTATGTAAAATCGAACGGTGAAGACCGAGAAGTGTTTCTACGTTTGATCGAGGGCTGATGATAGCGATGAGTTCTTCAGTGGACAGTCTGTTCTTCGGTATTTCTCTATTCTTTGCAAGAAGATGCAAGTTCCAAGCCATTGTATTCAGCACATTCACGTGTTATTTTTCTTTCTTTTTCTTTTCCAAGGATTAAATAAATTTTTTGGAATCGATTTAAAAGCACCCTTTATAACAGTATAGAAAGTATACTTTATTTTATTTTATTAATATATTAATTACATGTTAATCTCGCGTTAAAATATCATAATATAACTGTACTGTGATAATTTACCACGTGAATAGCTGTATCCAGTGTGTTATAAAGGGTTGAGAACAACCAATTGGTTGATTTTAGGAATCTGGTTTTAGATAAGTTCACTTTTATTTTATATGAAAAATATAAGAAAAAGAGAATTTAGTATTGGACATTTGTGCTAGGATATATCGAGCTTAAGCAACTTAGTTATAGCTTCAATGATTGGTTAGAATAGAAAGCTCGTAGAGTTGAAAGCTTATACATGTATATGTGTAATTATAGGTTTAGAAAAGATTTAGGAAATATTAAAAACAGAAAGATTATTTTAGATACTAGCTTTTAAATGAAGCATTAATTCCTACATGTATATACATACATACAACTATTTCACACTATAATTTTTAACTGCCTTAACTACATATACAGACTTATTAAACTCATAAATTGAACACAATCTTTGAAAAAAAAAAACTATTAATATATGTATTTTCAATACGAAAAAATATGGAACTATAGGTCAAAAAATTTTCTACCAGCGTTCGCGACGAACGAAAATTATTATACATGTTCATCCGATTTGCCGAAGACAATTCAGTTACACGTCTAAAGATAGCTTGCCTTCGTTAACAAATTAGAACCACGTAATTTCACAAAAGAAAGCTTCAGCAAGTCTCACAATACAGAATACGTTCCTTTCTGCTTCAAAAATCAACGCTTTTAATTGGATTCGCGAAAAGATCAGTATAAGGTGTCCACAACTCGAGAGACCCTGAAAGGACACACGCTACTAGCTCCCTTCTTTCTTTCTTTCTTCTTTTTTTCTTTTTTTTTTTTTTCTTTCTCGTCTTTAATTAGTGGCCACCCTCATGAAACTTTTATGCGGATCGAAAGAAGACATCTCGAGAGTCAGCTCGCGAGATGTAGATGACCGTGACCCCTTCATCGCGGTGCGCGTTGAATTAACTAAATAGAAAATCCAGGTCGTTTAGATGGTTTCCTAATATTCCACGTGCCTGGACGGTTTTGAAACCGTTATCCGAAACGGATTATCAAATCAATTGTCTATCACTCGTCGCATTTCTCGTTTCGATTTAATTAGTCAGTTTGTGTATATTTAACACTGCGGGTTGAATGCAACGCTTTCGATGTTTGTTGCGATACGTACAGCGGTCTACGAAAGTACTTGAAGACTTTTATGTATGTCATGTAATATAATATATAACGTATATTATATCTATGTGTGTGTTATACAAGAAAACCTCACATTAGCACTGTAAATGAAATACACTGGTGGTTATGTGGGTGATATATTTGAAAGTATATCCCTTTTGCTGTCTGACTAGTCTTTTGCTTCAGGAAATTTTAAAATTTTAAAACGTTTAATACACTTTGCATTTAAAGAAGTTAAGTTTCGAGTTCTTTTTTTTTTTTTAATTTTAATAAAGTTAAAGTCGAGGTGTGTGATAAATGAATGTTACAATGAATTTTTACGAAACATATTTACGATAAATATTTTATGTATAATATTTTTAATGTCGTTTCAAATACAAAGATAATCATGATAATCGTGTTCCATTGCAGTGGATGTTAATGAAATTTCAAAACAAATAAAACGTTTCTATATTTAAATATATTCAAAATGACCAAATGATAAATTGATGGCAAAATTTTGAGAACGTATATTTTGTGTTTAAGTTATGCTAAAAAAAAATGTTACAATAGATATTTTTGTGTTTAAGTTAAGCTAGAAAAATGTACGATAGATCATATAACAGGTAATTGATCTTACGATTAATCTTAATTTAGTCTTTAAATCATTATATCTCTGTCTTTCTTTCGCTTTTATGAATAAAAAGATTTGTAATATATTTATAGAAAATCAAATTCAAATTCGAATTAACTAACAGAAGTTTCATCCGGTTTTTGTAAATTTCAACAGATTTTCTTTAATGATAAAAATACCCGATTGGATTACAAACATAGTGTACGAGCATAGTTTGTTTCGAAAATTATCATTATTCTTAGCATCCTTAGTAACTGTTATATTCAGAAGGTGAGAAAGCAAATGTATATCAAACGAAGTAATACTTATGTATTTTTTAGCGTAACGTGTGTCTACAA